GGGGTTTCACCGTGTTGACCAGGATGGTCTCGATCTCTTGACCTCGTGATCCACCCGCCTTGGCCTCCCAAAGTGCTGGGATTACAGGCGTGAGCCACCGCGCCCGGCAATAATATAAATAATTTTTAAAAAATAATAAGCAGTGTTTTCTAACCGCAGCACTTGAGGGGAGAGTAATGAGAGCTCTCTAAAGCAAAAGAGGACCCCAGAGGCTCACAGAGGGTGCTGAGACATTTGGGCACCCCTCCCTGTGTAAATCCTTTGTCCCTGGTCCACCTTCAAGGATCCAGCTTTGTTCTTTTCAGCAGCCCTGTGGGGACTGCCTTTTAAGTAAAAGGACCACCCCCTCGAAGCTGTGAGGAGTCACCCGTTTCGGCCCCTGAGAGAGTCATAGACTGGTGGGAGGATAAGTGTGCTTTGCCTGCTCATGGTCCTCTCACCCTGACCAGTCCTGGAAACACAGGAGCTACTTCCCCAATTCTCCTTTATATGAACTTCACCTTCTGTTGTACCTGTCATTAGGCCAATTCATTTCAAGAGGAGTGCACTACAAATCATCATTCCAAAGCTTTCAGGTCCTTGTCATGGAATATATTTAAAATTAGCAGCTTCCCATTGACAAAAAGGAAGCACCTTAACCTCATGAAACTGGTTCCATCCAGTCTCTAGGGAATGTTTTCTGGCGATCAGCCAGTTTTCATGAACCTGGAATACAGGGTTGCCAGCAATTTTATTTTGCAAAGTAAGAAAAAATTTTAAAAACAACTATTATGAACAATTATCATTTTGTAGACAGTTATCTTAAACATCCTCCAAGTAGAGAAGACATAATTTCACAATAAAGGCAGTCTTCTGCAAAAGAGGAGGGCTAGCAGTCGGACATTAGTATTTTCACAGCAAGCAGACACTTCCATGGGGGTTTGGATGACACTGCCTCTTTCTACTGCATTCACATGAGAGCTACCTGTTATGGCTGAAATATTCACCCCCTTTAAAAACAAAGGAAAAGAACTGGAAGGGATGTAGAGAAAGTCCTTCCAGATCTATGAATCTGTAACTTGACAAAATATCAAATTGCTTTTCACTTGTATTACAAATTCAGTAGTCTGTATCTACTTGTATTATTTGTGTGTACCTGTGTTCACATGCATGTGAAAGCACACACACATGAATATATACATTGTGTGTGTATATATACTTTTTTTTTAGACAGAATCTCGCTCGTCATACAGGCTGGAGTGCAGAGGCACAATCCTGGCTGACTGCAACCTCTGTCTCCCGGGTTCAAGCGATTCTCGTGCTTAAACTTCCCAAGTAGCTCGGATTACAGACATGCGCCACCACGCCCAGTTAATTATTGTACTTTTAGGAGAGATGGGATTTCAACATGTTGGCCAGCTGGTTTCAAACTCCTGGCCTCAAGTGATCTTGCCTCTCCAGCCTCTGAAAGTACTAGAATTACAGGTGTAAGCCACTGCACCCAGCCTGTGGGAGTACTTTTTTTTCAGGCTTCTTCATCTTTAATGAAGGGTGAGGGCTGGGGGCAGGTCATTCGTGGAGGTGGCTCCAGAGCACAGAAGTTTCGGGGCACGCTTGCCTACTCCAGGGCCTTCGTCGGGGCCTCATTGGCTTCAATACAGATCTGGGTCTCTGCCCTCGCAGCCTCATCAAGGGTACCTGACAGCTCCAGCAATACCTTATTCAAGTTCATCTTGGCTGCCCCATGTCCAGCATGTCCAGTGTCACTACCATCGTTCACTGTGAATACATATATATATATATGTATGTATGAATGTGTGTATATACATATATAGACACAGTCATTCCTTAGCATCTGTGGGGGGTTGGTTCCAGGACTTCTCAGATATGGAAATCCACAGATGTTCAAGTCCCTAGTAGAAAATGGTGTAGTATTTGCATAGAACTTATGCACAGCCTCCTATATGCTTTAAATCATCTCTAGATTACTTATAACACCTAATACACTGTAAATGCTATGTAAATAGTTGCTATCCTATATTATTTAGGGAATATATTATAAGGAAAAAAGGTCTGTGCATGTTCAGTATCCTTTTTTTGTTCAAATCTAGTCAACTATTCTTTTCTTTGTTTAAATATTTTCCATCCACAGTTGGCTGAATCCATGGATGTGGAACCACTGGTGAGGAGCCCTGACTGCATTACAATGTGAATATGGTGCTGTATGCACTGAACTGTGTCCCCAGCCCCAAAACCCATATGTTGAAGCCCTAGCCCCCAGTATATCAGAATGCGACTGCATTTGGAAATAGGGCCTTTAAAGGGGTAATTAAGTTAAAATGAGAGTATTATAATAAGAATATTCTCTTATGAAGAATATCTTCATAATAAGAGGAGATTAGGACACACAGAGAAAGGCATGAGGGGCACTGATACACAGAGGGACAACTGTGTGAAGAGTCAGCAAGAGGGCAGTGGCTACAAGCCAAGGAGGGAGGCATGGAGCAGAGCTTCCCTTATGACCAATGGAGGAAACCTACATGACTAGCACCCTGATCTTGAACTTCCAGTCCCCAGAACTGTGAAGAAAATAAATTCCTATGGTTTAAGCTACCCAGCCTGTGGTATTTTGTTATGGAAGCCCTACCAAACTAATATAGGTGCTGAAACTAATTTGCAAAAAAAACAATTTCTTTGGTGAATTAATTAATCTGTCCTAGGAAGTTCATTGAAAATGACTCACCGACAGTCGCGGTGGCTCATGCCTGTAATCCCAGCACTTTGGGAGTCAGAGGTGGGTGGATCACGGGGTCAAGAGAGCAAGACCATCCTGGCCAACATGGTGAAACCCCTATCTCTACTTAAAATACAAAAATTAGTTGGGTGTGGTGGCACACACCTGTAGTCCCAGCTACTCAGAAGGCTGAGGCAGGAGAATTGCTTGAACCCAGGAAGTGGAGGTTGCAGTGAGCCAAGATTGGCCACTGCACTCCAGCCTGGCAACAGAGTGAGATTCTGTCTCAAAAAAAGACTTTATACCAATCACTCTTACTATAAATAAAAAATAAATACACTTTTTTAAAAAGAAAACATTTACAAAATGTCATTAATCTATCCCACTACATGTCATCTTCAGCAAACATATCTACTATGGCCTTGTAAATATGCCCTTTGTGGAGAAAGGGCACTAGTTTTGAACATACTAAAATTAGTATGAGTCCATTCAGATCAACAAGAATATTTTAAACACTGTGACTTAACCATGAAAGATTTAGTAGAGGTCAAAAAGTCAAGGAATGTAGGCTGTGCTCTTAAAGAATTCAGGCTTGAATTTCAAACTCTCCTCTCCCCCACAATGAACTTCACCCTTTCAAATACACACACATACACACAGGTTAAGGGGTAACACAAAAGCATGAAGACATAGCAACAGAAACAATAGGGTCATTAAAAAAGGGAGGGCTCATGATGGTACAGGAACCTGGGCTGGGGGAACCACAAAGATGGTTTCTCTGCGCATTTGCCCATTGAGTTCCACCTGCAAGCGGGACTTTCCCTCCATCCTCTCCAGATTCCTGTCTACCCTTGAAGGTAGGGATCAGACACCACCTCCTCCAAGGAGATCTCTCCAACTATTTCAGCATATGAGGATCTCTCTCTTCTTTCAAATCCCATTTCATGGATTATCTGAATCTCTCATTTTAGTAGCAAGAAAGTATACATCAGACTTCCCAAAGAGCAGACTTGGTCTCTCACTGAATCACTGTACTGCTTTATATAGCTGCTATTCTAAAACAGCCTGGCTAGGTGAATTAAAACTTTAAAGATTTTAAATTTTCAAATTAGACCATTTTAACAATACCAGGGAATCAACCACTATTTAAATTCTAATTAGTGGAGTTTTTGAAATACTTGACACAATAAGACTAAGAAGAGAGACTGGCCGTGTCTTAAATCGCTGTGAGGATGACTTGCCAAACAAGACTACTTTGTATTTTTGGTTCGTGGTATCTGTCTCCATACACCATATCACATACCATTCATTACGGTCCTGGGCCAAACCATTCTTGTAGCAAACAAGTGAAAAGGAGAGGTACCAGGTATTTCCAGCTCTGTTCCACAGAAGTGGAAATGTAAACGAAAGCAGTGCTTTATTTAAGAGCTTGAAACACAGCAGCAGAAAAGCTGAACTTTCTAGTGACCATTTTATCTTCTGAGGCCTGGGGTCTTAAACTAGGGTCTGTGGCTCTTGTAATTTCTCCACCTACCCCAACCACTGCCACTTCAGTACAATCAATTACAAGTAAACCAGAACTTGGGGTGCAAGGGCAGTGCAGGCTCAAGGCATCCCATCACCTCCTCATCTTACAGGGAGAGGCCTGGCCAGAAGAGAGGGGCTTTATAAAGTAAGAGCAAGAATGTAGTATCCCTCAGTTTGCCTCAGTCTAAGGGTGCCAAATAGTCCCAAAAGTCTGAGGGCATACCTGGTTCATCTTCCTGGAGCATCAGTATTACAAGACCTGGAGGATTATGTTTTATATTAAATAAGTGCAGATATGTTACACAGTAAATTATAAGAACCAAATAAATGTTTGCTCCTGCCATGCTTGGCCTCTGCTTCAGAATCCTAGAAATATGAATTCACTCTCCTCTCCCATTGGGAAAATTCAGTGGAAGGTTTTACTCCATTCTCACACTGCTAATAAAGACATACCTGAGACTGGGTAATTCATAAAGGAGAGATTCACAGTGCAGCATGGCTAAGGAGGCCTCAGGAAACTTACAGTCATGGTGGAGAGGGAAGCAAACACATCCTGCTTCGCATGGTGGCAACAAGGAGAAGTGCCAAGCGAAAGAGGAGAAAGCCCCTTATAAAACCACCAGATCTCATGAGAACTGTCACTATCATGAGAACAGCATGCAGGTACCTGCCCCCATGATTCAGTTACCTCCCACTAAGTCCCTCCCACAACATGTGGGGATTATGGGAACTACAGTTCAAGATGAGATGTGGTGGGAACACAAAGCCTAACCATATCATCACACTCTTGGCCCCTCCCAAATCTCATGCCCTCACTTTTCAAAACATAATCATGCCTTCCCAACAGTTCCCCAAAGTCTTAACTCATTCCAGCATTAACTCAAAAGTCCAAGTCCAAACTCTCACCTGAGGCAAGCCAAGTCCCTTCTACCTATCAGCCTGTAAAATCAAAAGCAAGTTAGTTACTTTCTAGATATAACGCAGGTACAGGCATTGGATAAATACAGCTGTTCCAAATGGGAGAAATTGGCCAAAACGAAGGGGCTACAGACCCCATGTAAGTCAGAAATCCAATAAAGCAGTAATTAAATCTTTTTTTTTTTTTTTTGAGACGGAGTTTCACTCATGTTACCCAGGCTGGAGTGCAATGGCGCGATCTCAGCTCACCGCAACCTCCGCCTCCTGGGTTCAGGCAATTCTCCTGCCCCAGCCTCCTGAGTAGCTGGGATTACAGGCACGCACCACCATGCCCAGCTAATTTTTTGTATTTTTAGTAGAGACGGGGTTTCACCATGTTGACCAGGATGGTCTCGATCTCTTGACCTCGTGATCCACCCGCCTCGGCCTCCCAAAGTGCTGGGATTACAGGCTTGAGCCACCGCGCCCGGCCTACAGTAATTAAATCTTAAAGCTCTGAAATACTCTCCTTTGACTCCATGTCTCACATCCAGGTCACACTGATGCAAGAGGTGGGCTCCTACAATTTGGGGAAGCTCCATCCTTGTGGCTTTGTAGGGTACAGCCCCCTCCTGGCTGCTTTCACAGCTGGCGTTGAGTGTCTGTGGCTTTTCCAGGTGCACAGTGCAAGCTGTCAGTGGATCCACCATTCTGGCGAATGGAGGACAATGGCCCTCTTCTCAGACCTCCACTAGGCAGTGCCCAAGTGGGGACTGTGTGTGGGGGCTCTGATTCCATATTCCCCTTCTGATTGCCCTAGCAGAGGTTCTCCATGAGGGCTCTGCCCTTGAAGAACACTTCTAACTGGCCATCCAGGCATTTTCGTACATCATCTGAAATCTAGGTAGAGGTTCCTAAACCTCAATTCCTGTCCTCTGTGCACCCACAGGTTCAATACCAAATGGAAGCAGCCAAGACTTGGGGCTTGAACCCTTTGAAGCTGCAGCCTGAGCTATACCTTGGCCCCTTTTAGCCATGGCTGGAATGGCTGGCAGGGCACCAAGTCTCTAGACTACACACAGCAGGGAAGCCCAGCCCACAAAACCACTTTTTCCTCCTAGGCCTTCAGGCAAGTGATAGGAGGAGCTGCTGCAAAGGTCTCTGACATGTCCTGGAGACACTTCCCCATTGTCTTGGCAATTAACACTTGGCTCCTTGTTGCTTATGCAAATTTCTGCAGCCAGTTTGAATTTCTCCCCAGAAAATACGTTTTTCTTTCTACCACATTGTCAGGTTGCAAATTTTTCAAACTTTTATGCTCTGTCACCTCTTGAACACTTTGCTGCTTAGGAATTTCTTCCACCAGATACGCTAAATCATCTTTCTGATGATCCATAGATCTCTGGGGCAGGGGTAAAATGTCGCCATTGTCTTTACTAAAGCATAGCAAGAGTCACTTTTGCTCCAGTTCCCAACAAATTCCTCATCTCCATCTGAGACCACCTCAGCCTGGACTTCACTGTCCATATCACTATTAGCATTTTGGTCAAAGCCATTCAACAAGTCTCTAAGAAGTT